AGTATTGATGCTGGAAGATAGAGATGATGGGTGAATGGATGGATGGAAGATAGAGATGATGGGTGGATGAATGATTGGATAGATGGATGGAAGACAGATGATGGGTGGAAGAAAGAATAGAGTGGATGGATAGATGGATGATAGAGATGATGGATGGAAGGAAGATCGAGATAATGGGTGGATGGATGGATGGATGGATGGATGAATAGAAGACAGAGATGATGAGTAAAGGGAAAATAGAGATGACAGATGGAAGGGTAGATGGAATTTAGAGAGAATGGATGGAAGGATGGAAGATCGAGATGATGGATAGATGGATGGAAGATAGAGACAATGGATGGATGGATGAAAGGTTGAGATGATGAATTGATGGATGGATGGATGGATGATGATAGAGATGATGGAAGGAGGGAGGGAGGGAGGGATTGATGGATGGATGAATGGATAGGGTCTCTCGTGCTAAGGCAAGGTTTCTTACCCTCTGCACTATCAACATAGTTGATGGTGCTGGATCATTCTCTAAAGTAGAACCATCCTTTGCACTGTAGGGTGTTAAACAGCATCTCTGGACTCCACTCAGTAGAGACACCAGGAGCACCACCCTGCTCAGTCATAACAACCCAAAATGCCTCCAGACACTGTCTAGTGTCCCCTGGGTGGGGAGCAGAACTATCCTGAGGTGACAATCTCTGGACTAGAAGGATCTCAGGTCTGCTCCAAGAGAGAAGCTGTCACCATCCCGCCACATGGATCTGATGCGTAAGCATGACATATTTTCATGGAACTGGAGCAACCACAATCCTCCACTTCATCATCATGCTTCATAACCACCTCCCGTGCCAGCTCCGTGAGACACCTGGCTTTACTGATTGGACCAGACAGAGCACCAAGGAGGCCAACGGATTCTGTCTCCCTGGACTTTGGAATTGGGACCCAAAGAACAAGTCAGTAAGATGGCACCTGGTCCCAGAAATATGAGCTCTTGATGCCAACTGTGACTCAAGGCAAGTTGCTGAAAGAAGAGTCTACAAGGAGAGCTGATGTGCAGAGAGGACCCCAAAGGGAGAAGGAATGTATTATTATTTTATTATTTGAGACAGAGTCTTGCTCTGTCACCCAGGCTGGAGTGTAGGGGTGTCATCTTGGCTCACTGCAACCTCCACTTCCAGTGTTCAAGCAATTCTCCTGCCTTAGCTTCCCTAGTAGTTGGGATTACAGGTGCACGCTACCATGCCTGGCTAATTTATTGTATTTTTAGTAGAGACAGAGTTTCATCATGTTGGTCAGACTGGTCTCGAACTTCTGACCGCAAATGATCCAGCCACCTCACTCAGTCTCCCAAAGTACTGAGGTGACAGGTGTGAGCCACCTCACTTGGCCCCATTGTTTGTTTGTTTGTTTTTAGAGACAGGGTCTCACTCCATCTGCCAGGCTGGAGTGCAGTGGCGCGATCACAGCTCACTGCAGCCTCGAACTCCTGAGCTCAAACAACCCTCCAGCCTCAGCCTCCTGAGTATCTGGGACTGCACACACCCACACCCTGATAATTATTTTTATTTTTTTTATTTTTGTAGACATGGGATCTACAAAAATAAATTTGTAGGAGAAACTACCCTGATTTTTACGACAGTTTCCACGACAACTCACTTCCCCCAAGCTGACTTCAACAGAATGGCCTGATGTGCCACCCCTCTATTCCGGAACATGTCCCAGTCATTATTTGCACTTGTTTTTTGGAGACAGGGTCTTGCTCTGTTGCCCAGGCTGGAGTGCAGTGGCACTATCACAGCTAACTGCAGCCATGACCCCCTGGCTCAATGAATCCTGCCTCAGACAAGTAGCTGGGACTACAGGTGTGTGCCACCACGCCCAGCTAATATTTGTATTTTTCATCGAGGCAGGAGGTTGCACTTTGTTGCCCGGGCTGGTCTTGAACTTGTGGGCTCAAGTAATTCTCCCACCTCAGTCTCCAAAAGTGCTGGGATTACAGGTGTCAGCCACAACAGCAGGCCGTATTTGTATCTTACAGAGTGTAGGCCAGTCAGGAAATCTGGGATATGCCCTCTGGAGTCAGCTGTAAGATGACCCTGAATTTCCCTAACTCCCCATGGGAATAAAGCCCCACTCTCCCCTCTCCCCTCTCCCCACTCCCTGCTCCCCTCTCCCCTCTCCCCCTCCCCTCTCCTCTCTCCCCTCTCCCCTCTCTCCGTTCCCTGTTCCCCACTCCCTGCTCCCCTCTCCTCTGTCTCCCAGTCTGTAGTGCAGTGGTGCAATCATGGCTTACTGTAGCCTTCAACTCTTGTGCTCAAGTGATCCTCCTGTCTCAGCCTCCTGAGTAGCTGTGTCTACAGGCATGCACCACCGTGCTCAGCTAACTTAAAAAAATTTTGTTGTACAGACGGGGTCTCACTATATTGCCTAGGCTGGTCTCAAACTCCTGGATTCAAGTGATCCTCCCAAAACACTGGGATTATAGGCGTGAGCCACTGTACCCAGCCTACTCTCTTATTTCTTGCGCTAGCATGAATGTGTTTCTATTTCTGGCAAAGAAACAAGCAGAAAGACCTCGTCGCTGGGGTAACCAACACCCTCTAGATCAATTTGTGGTAACTGACAAAGGTCTGAAATGGCACATGCTGAGAAAGAAAAAAACCGTCCCCCTAAAACTGAGAAGAGGCAAAGCTGTGTCGTCCAGCATTTTGGATGGTGGTTTTGTGTTTGCTGTTGGCCGGTTGCAGTAAAGGCAAAATTTTGTTTCTTGGTGACTCTGCCAATTGGCAGAGGACAAACTCCAGGGAGGGAGTTTGGCTGTTTGAGTGCTTCTGATTAACCCCTTCCTCTCTGCTGCTTGTTATTTTGCTTTTGTTTTTCTCCTTCCTTTTCTTCTTCTTCCCTTCTCTTTCCTTCCTTTCTTTCCTCTTTTCTTTTTGTTTCTTGTTCCTTTCCTTTCCTTCCTTCTTTCCTTTCCCTTCCTTTCTTCTTCTTCCCTTTTCTTTCCTTCCTTTCCTCTTTCCTTTCTTTCTTCCTTCCTTTCCTTCCTTCTTTCTCTCCTTCCTTCCTTCCCCCCCCTCCTTCCTCTTCTCTCTCTCTCTCTCTCTCTCTTTCTCTTTCTCAGATGGAGTCTCACTCTGTCACCAGGCTGGAGCACAGTGGCACAATCTCGGCTCACTGCAATCTCCACCTCCAGGGTTCAAGTGATTCTCCTGCCTCAGCCTCCTGAGCAGCTGGTATTTGTAATCCACCACCATCCTGGCTAATTTTTGTATTTTTAGCCAAGACAAGGTTTCGTCATGTTGGCCAGGCTGGTCTCAAACGCCTGACTTCAAGTGATCCACCTACCTTGGTCTCCCAAAGTGCTGCAATTACAGGTGTGAGCCACCACACCAGGCCTCTCTGTCTCCCTCCCTCCCTCCCTTCCCTTCTTCCATTCTCTCTCCCCCTCTCCTTCCTCCTTCCTTCCTTCATTCCCTCTCTCTATTTTTCACTATATCAAAAAACCAATCTCTGCATGTTACTTTTTTTTTTTTTTTTTGAGATGGAGTTTCGCTCTTGTTACCCAGGCTGGAGTGCAATGGCGCGATCTCGGCTCACCGCAACCTCCGCCTCCTGGATTCAGGCAATTCTCCTGCCTCAGCCGCCTGAGCAGCTGGGATTACAGGCACGCGCCACCATGCCCAGCTAATTTTTTGTAGCTTTAGTAGAGACGGGGTTTCACTATGTTGACCAGGATGGTCTCGATCTCTTGACCTCGTGATCCACCCGCCTCGGCCTCCCAAAGTGCTGGGATTACAGGCTTGAGCCACCGCGCCTGGCTGCATGTTACTTTGGACTCCTCCTCTACACCCAGAATCTCTGAGCAATGGCCCAGAGTACCATGACCCAGGTTTATTGCAGTTTATAACCCTGAGACTTCACTGGCTTAAGCAACCACGTGGGCAGCCTTTTCTTTCTTTTGCATGTATGTGATTATTTTCCCAGCTGTGTTGAGGTATAGTTGACAAACAAAAAACATATTTATCTAGGCACAGTGTGCACGCCTGTAGTCCCGGCTACTCTGCTTGGCAGGCTGAGATGGGAGGATCACTTGAGCCTGGGAGTTGGAGGCCGCAGTGAGCTATGATCGCACCACTGCACTCCAGCCTGGGTGACAGAGCCAGACCCGTAGCTCTAAAAATAAAAATTAAAAAACTGGCCAGGCACGGTGGCTCACACCTGTAATCCCAGCACTTTGAGAGGCCAACGGGGGTGGATCACGGGGTCAGGAGTTCGAGACCAGCCTAGCCAAGATGGTGAAATTCCATCTCTACTAAAAATACAAAAATTAGCAGGCATAGTGGCGGGTGCCTATAATCCCAGCTACTCGGGAGGCTGAGGCAGGAGAACATCTTGAATCTGGAAGGCAGAGGTTGTCGTGAGCTGAGATTGTGCCACTTCACTAGAGCCTGGGCAACAGGAGTGAAACTCGGCCTCAAAAAAGAAAAAAAGAAATGAACAGGCCTGGTGTGGTGGCTCACGCCTGTGATCCCAGCACTTTGGGAGGCTGAGGCAGGTGGGTCACCTGAGGTCAGGAGTTCTAGACCAGCCTGGCCAACATGGTGAAACCCTGTCTCCACTAAAAATACAGAAATTATTCAGGCATGGGGGCAGGTGCCTGTAATCCCAGCTACTCAAGAGGCTGAGGCTGAGAATCACTTGAACCCAGAGGTGGAGGTTGCAGTGAGCCAAGACTGCACCACTGCATTCCAGCCTGGACAACAAGAGTAAACACTCCATCTCATAAATAATTATATTTAGCTGGGCACAGTAATGCATGCCTGTAGTCCCAGCTACTTGACAGGTTGAGGCGTGAGCGTCACTTGAGCCTGGGAGTTCGAGGCTGCAGTGAGCTATGATCGTACCATTGCACTCCAGCCTGGGTGACAGAGCCAGACCTCCAACTCTAAAAATAAAAAAATTAAACATAAATAAATAAATAAGAGTTTCAAAGCACAGAGACTCACCGGGAGGAGACGATGTAGCCCAGCACGTGGGCCACAAGGAGCCGCCCGTGCGTCTGCTCCAGGCGGGCGCAGAGCTGGTGTGTGGCTTCCTCTGCGGTGCTGGCCAGAGGGGCAGGCACAGTAAAGGAGGCCCATTTCCGGGCCTCCTCAAAGGCCAGCCTCAGCCGCCCCGGGTTCCCACACTCCGGGAGGCTGGCCCAGAGCAAATCTGTGTGCACAGGGCTCAGTGTCCTCTTTGCTGCCGCCAGCAGGAGTTGGATCATCTCCTGGCCTTGGTTTCCGGAGAGGGGCTTCACCTCCCAGTAGGCCTCCGGGTCGGGGAGCACCCGCTGTAAAGTATCTAAAACCCCCCATGCCCCTGAGCAAGCTGAAAGGATGAGGTGAACCCTCGGGGGGCAGTTGAGAGGCAGCCAGGGCACCCTCCGAGCATGGCGGACAGAGTCCAGGTCATCCATAGCATCCAGCAGGAGCACGAGAGACTCAAAGTTTCTGCAAGAGATGGTGTGGAGGAGGACGTGGAAAAACTGGACCACTCTGGTGTGGGCATCCAGGACCTGGGCAGGGGGCAGGGGCAGCCCATAGGCCAGGCACACCTGGAAGCAGATGCTCTTCAGCAGGCTGCGGGCATCTGAGCTCATCTGCGATGTCCCCAGAAGCCGTAGGACAGTCACTGTCTTGTGCCTGAGCAGCCTTGGCATCTGCTCGGCCAGCTTGCACATCAGGGCCGTCTTTCCAATGCCTGGGACTCCAAAGAGCACCAGGGGGGTGTGTGGCTTGCTGTCATCCTGCCTGAGCTGCTGTCCGAGCCGGGCTAGGAGTTCCTGGTGTCCGCAGAAAGTCTGGGTGACCTCCGAGCTCTGCCAAAGGTGGTGGCGGATTTCTTGGTAGAGCCATGCCATCTCCTGCCTGGCCACATCCAGCTCACGGAGGTGTTCGAGGATCTGGTGATCGGCCCTTGCCACAAACTGTTCACCCAGCTCCTTCAGGTAGCGGGCGTGAGTCTGGTTCTTGGGGTTCACCAGATCCCGGCTCCATGGCAGGCGGTGCGCCTTGAGGACCCCGGGGTGCACGTCAGTGATGTGAGCCTTGAGGTTGCTGAGAAGGCTCTGGGCATCCGTGTCCAGGCAGCCATCCGCGAGCCGGTCCACCATCCTGAGGGCGCAGTCCTCCAGAATGTGTTTGTGGAGGTCTTGGATCTCTCGAAGGAAGACAGTGGCTCGCTGGTCCCGGTCCTCTGAGCTCAGCAGGCCCCGCTCTATCTCCCACTCAATGGCTGCCGAAGCAGGGAAGGAAGGAATGAAGGGTGGTCATTATTGGGTCAGCAGCTGACCTAAATGGGGTTGCTGGGAGACCTGATGCTGGGGCGTGCATTGGTACTCAAGGTCAGCGTGCACCAGAGTCCGACCTGGAGGCCTCGAAAAGACCCCACCTCCAGAAGTTCTGATTCAGCAGATCTGGGAGGGGCCCTGGAATTTGCATTTACAACAAGCCAAGGCTTGCTGGTCCGGGGACTGCACCCAGAGTC